CCATTAGGTAAGGCTTCTTGTTAACTCTTATAACTTATGTTACCCCATTGTCCTTATCTACATTAGTCACATGGGCTCAGTATCTTTCTCAGTGTGACAGCTTACATGTTGCCTCTTCGGTGGTCTGTGTAGGAATGCTTCCAGAATATTCCCAATCTCTTTGCTCCACCCCTACTTCCTGTCTGGCTTTCCCACCTATACTTCCTGCCTGGACAATCAGCGTTTTATTAAAATATGATTGACAGAATACAGACAATTATCCCACACCAAGAAGGTTTGAATGCAGAATTCTACCAGAACTTCCAGGAAGAGCTAATACCTATACTCCTTAATGTATTCCACAATATAGAAACAGAAGAGTCATTGTCAAACTCCTTTTATGAAGCTACAGTTACTCTGATACCAAAATCACACAAAGACATAGCCAATAAAGAGAATTACAAGCCAATCTCACTCATGAACATTGACGCAAAAATTCTCAATAAAATACTGGCAAACCAAATCCAAGAACACATTAGAAAAATTATCCATTATGATCAAGTAGGCTTCATCCCAGAGATGCAGGGCTGGTTCAACATATGCAGATCTATCAATGTAATCCATCACATAAATAAACTGAAAGAAAAAAACCATATGATCATTTCATTGGATGCTGAAAAAGCATTTGACAATATTCAACACCCATTTATGATAAAGGTGTTGGAGAGACTGGGGATACAAGGATCATACCTAAATATAATAAAAACAATATACAGCAAGCCGACAGCTAACATCAAATTGAATGGAGAGAAACTCAAAGCCTTTCCACTAAAATCAGGAACACGACAAGGCTGTCCACTCTCTCCATACCTCTTCAATATAGTGCTTGAAGTTCTAGCCATAGCAATAAGATAACATAAGGGGTTCAAGGGGTTACAAATTGGAAAGGATGAAGTTAAACTTTCGTTATTTGCAGACAATATGATAGTGTACATAAGCGACCCGAAAACTCTACCAAAGAACTCCTACAGCTGATAAACACCTTTAGTAATGTGGCAGGATACAAGATGAACTCCAAAAAATCAGTTGCCCTCCTATACACAAAGGATAAAGAAGCAGAGAGGGAAATCAGAGAAACATCACCTTTCATGATAGCCACAAATAGCATAAAATATCTTAGGGTAACTCTAACCAAGGAAGTGAAAGACTGTAAGGAGCCGTCAGAAAGTCGCCATGGTACTGGCGTCCTGCAGCTTGATGGTAGACAGATCCTTTGATGCTGCCATGCGGGCCAGAGTGCCTGGGGCCTGTGTTTTGTATTTCAGAGCCTTGGTTCACTGACCTGTCCTGTGGCCTCAGGCCCTAGGAGAATGGCATCAACAAATCAGCATTTGAGCCTCTCAACCCTAGAGAAGCCGCTGCTTTTAGTTTCTCGCTCTCTCTCGTCCCTGCGCTTTCCCTCTCTCATCCCTGCGTTTTCTCTCTCTCATTCCTGTGCTTTCCCTCTCTCGTCCCCCTTCTCCTGCTCCTTCCCTCTTTCGTCCCTCATTCTCCCTTCAACCAAGTGGCTCCAATAAATGCGTGATATGGGAAGGATTCTCGATTTCATGGCCGTCCATTCCTGCTGGTCAGGAAGCACACCACAAAAGATCTATTTGACAAGAACTTTAAGTCTTTGAAGAAAAATATTGAGGAGGATACCAGAAAATGGAAAGACCTCCCTTGCTCTTGGATTGGGAGAATCAACATAGTAAAAATGGCAATTCTACCAAAAGCAATCTATAGATTCAATGCAATCCCCATCAAAATTCCATCAAACTTCTTCACAGACCTTGAGAGAACAATAATCAAGTTTATATGGAAAAACAAAACACCCAGGATAGCCAAAACAATCTTATACAATAAAGGAACTTCTGGAGGCATTACCATCCCTGACTTCAAACTCTATTACAGAGCTACCGTATTGAAAACAGCTTGGTATTGGCATAAGAACAGAGAAGTTGACCTATGGAATCGAATAGAAGACCCGGATATTTACCCACAAACCTATGAACACCTAATTTTCAACAAGGGAACTTGTTGAAAAGTTGTGGTAAAGGTATACCACGGAAGAAGGAAAGCATGTTTAACAAATGGTGCTGGCACAACGGGATGTCAACCTGTAGAAGAATGAAAGTAGATCCATATCTATCACATGCACAAAACTCAAGTCCAAATGGATTAAAGACATCAACATTAATATGTCCACTTTGAACTGGATAGAAGAGAAAGTGGGAAATAGTCTACAAGATATAAGCACAGGAGACTACTTCCTAAGTAGAACCCCAGTAGCACAGACAATAAGAGAAACAATGAATAAATGGGACCTCCTGAAACTGAGAAGTTTCTGTAAAGCAAAGGACACTGTCAGTAAGACAAAAAGGCTACCTTCAGACTGGGAGAAGATCTTCACCAACCCCTCATCAGACAAAAGTCTGATCTCCAAAATATACAAAGAACTCAAGAAACTAGACACTAAAACTCTAATTAACCCAATTAAAAAATGGGGTACTGAACTGAACAGAGAATTCACAACAGATGAGCTTCAAATGGCCAAAAGACACTTAAGGTCATGTTCTACCTCCTTAGCAATCAGGGAAATACAAATCAAAACAACTTTGAGATACCATCTTACACCTGCCAGAATGACTAAAATCAAAAACACCAATGATAGCCTATGCTGGAGAGGATGTGGAGTGAGGGGAACACTCATCCATTGTTGGTGGGAATGCAAACTTGTGCAGCCACTGTGGAAATCAGTGTGGCGGTTTCTCAGGAAACTGGGAGTCAACCTCTCTCAGGACCCAGCAATTCCACACTTGGAAATTGTCCCACGAAACCCACTCTCCTGCTACAGGGCGTTCTTCCCATACTGGACCACGAGTCTGGATCAATATCCTAGGAGTTGAACAGACACACACAGAGAGACCGGATCATTTGCCCAACGGGTAAATGTCAATCTTTATTTAGCACACGTAGGCTTATATACTTGGAGGCAAGAGGACGAGAGCCCTCTCCCACCTGGGAGTGAGAAGAGGGGTGTTGTCCACATGGCACCAGTGGCCTGAGCCTCCATGTAGGGGGTATCAAGCTGGGAACCCTGACAGACAGATGGGAGGAGATTTAGGGCTCCTGTGAGGACCTTCCTTAGCAGGTGAAATTATCATAGCAATGACAGAAACAAGGCTTTGAACTAATTCCCTCCGGCAGGCAGAATGAGCAGGGGAAGCTAAACTAGTTAGCGTAAACAATTCTTGCATCCTGTGTTTTGGCCTCGAGGAACAGGGAACACAGGGCCCTACAGGGAATATACCCAAGAGATGCCCTATCATACTACAAAAGTATTTGTTCAGCTATGTTTATAGCTGCACTATTTGTAATAGCCAGAACCTGGAATCAACCTAGGTGCCCCTCAATAGAAGAATGGTTAAAAAAGGTGTGCAACATGTACACATTAGAGTTCTACTCAGCAGTAAAAAACAATGACATCTTGAATTTTGCATGCAAATGGAAATAGAAAACACTTTACTGAGTGAGGTACCCCAGACACCAAAAGAGGAATGTGGTGTGTACTCACTCATAAGTGGATTCAAGCCATAGTTAAAGGTCTTTGAGTCTATAATTTGTGATCCTAGAGAAGCTAAATAAGAAGGTGAACCTGAAGAAAATCATATAGTTATCCTCCTGGATATTAGAAGTAGACAAGATTGCCAGGCAAACTTGGTGCATGGGGAGTGGGGGAGTGGAAGTAAGGGGAGATGGTTAGGGAGAGGGGAGAGGGGGAGAATTGGGGGAATGGGAGGGGGGAGGGAGGAAGGATGGATATGGGAGCAGGGAAGTTTATATCTCAACTAAGGGAGCCATTTTAGGGTTTGCAAGAGACTTGATTCTGGAGGGGTTCCCAGGCCCAAGGAGAGGTTCCCAGATTGTTCCCTGGGCAGCAGAGGAGAGGGTGCCTGAACTGGCCTTGGCCCATAACCATACTGATGAATATTTTGCATGTCACCACAGAACCTTCATATGGCGAAGGATGGAGATAGAGACAGAGACACATAATGGAACACTGGACCTAACTCCCTAGGTCCAAATGAGAAGCAGAGGGAGGGAGAACGTGAGCAAGGAACTAGAGGGAACCTTCATCCGACGATGGATGGAGATAGAGATGGAGACCCACATTGGAGCAGTGGACTGAGCCCCCAAGGTCCAAATGAGGAGCAGAAGGAGGGAGAACATGAAAAAGGAAGTCAGGACCGCGAAGGGTGCGTTCACCCTCTGATAAAAGGGGACTGATCAAATGAGAGCTCACCAAGGCCAGTTGGACTGGGACTGAACGAGCATGTGATCAAACCGGATTCTCTGAATGTGGCTGACATGGGGACTGACTGAGAGGCCATTGACAATGGCACTGGGTCTTGTGTCTTCTGCATGTACTGGCTTTTTGGGATCCTGGTCTGTTTGGATGCTCACCTTCCTGGACCTGGAGGGAGCGGGGAGGAACTTGGATTTCCCACAGGGCAGGAAACCCTGACTGTTCTTGGGAATGGTGAAGGAGGAGGAGAGGGAGTGGGGAGAGTAAGAGGGTATTTGGGAGGAGGGGAGGAAGTAGAAATTCTTTAAATAAATAAATAAATAAATAAATAAATAAATAAATAAATAAGGAAAAAAATGAAATAAAATGGAAAACAGTGAAACAAAAAGAAAGAAACAGCAGTATAGCAACAGACATTCTAGGGCCAAAGCCATTGGGGCTTTCCTTATCTGGGATTCAATAATCAGAGCTTTGCTTTGGGTGAACCAATATCCTGAACCTCTACGGCCACCTGGTGCTCCTCTGACATGGCCACAAGCAAAATTTCACAGTGAATACTGTAAATACTGGGTTGATTTTTCTTAGTAAATCTGTCTGCCATTTGCAGAAAAGTGAAGAATATCAGACAAATCTCACATTCGTTCTTTGTAATCAATAGTTTTTCTCCCCCCAGTGGCATATGGATCATGGTTTTTAACATACTCGTGCCTGGATGTCCATGAGAAAAATGGACAACGTTTTGGTACTGAGCTATGAAGACATCAAAAAGGTAACTAACATTCTTAAAGCAACCACACAACCTCCAGCATCCAACCCTGTGCAACACCCCACATTCCTCAATTTCCCCAAATCCACCTACTCTGTCAATGTCAGGCTCATGAAGAGTCACTAAAAGTATAAGTATGCCCATGTCTTTTATTGACTTGCATCAGTTTCCCTCTCCAGTCTCCTAGTCCATAACCCTCGTTTTCTTTAACCTACTACACCATGAGGTAGGGTGGGGTAGATTATACATGTACTACAGGTTTTGTAATTCTATCTTCACAACACATTCAATATAATTGATAACCCAATGGCCAGGGGAAAATGGGTAAAGTGGTGCCATTCCACTGATGTGCAGCAATGTATGTCCTCTCCCCTTGGGCAGAAGAAGAGGGGCAAAGGCATGATATTCATCTATGAATCCTGGGAGAGCACAAATGCTGAAGTCACATGAATAGCACTGAGTGATACTCAAATTTGACCAGGTGTGTACAAGGTGCAGTCAGTCAGAGAGGATATTGTGCTCTGAAGTACAGAGAGTTCTACATGGTGGGCTAGAATAAACTGCAGATTTCAAAATATTATTAGAAAATATATAAAATGTTTCAAGATTAAGTAATGACATACATCTAAATAGGTTGATATGCCATTACCTTATTTGATCATTGCAGGTTTTATTTGGTTGAAATGCACAACTGAAGGTTATAAACATGTTTAAGTACTATGTGTGTCTCTCAAATACCTCTTATCTTAGAAATTAAAAAATGTTCCTGGAAGGGTGTCACATGATTGTAAACCTAGCACTGGGAAACAGAGACAGATTCAGGTATCATCTTTGGATTGTGGGTTTGAGGTTACCCTTGGGTATAAGAGACGTTGTTTCTAAAGACCATTGATAAAAATAATTTTAAATTCATTTGTGTATTTTATTTTCATTTAGTTAAGATACATTCCCTCTAGTGATTGCCACCATGCATATAAGCAGAAAAAAATTCTTATTTTATCAGAAGCTCAAAATTTAAATTGCTTTGAAGTTATAGGTGAAAGATAAATGTTTATGTATTACAGATAAAGATATCAATTGTACTTTTACTGAGCAAGAAAAAAATTACACTGATCACAATCTCTAGGGGAGAAAACATTTGACCACCCTTAGTAGTGTTCAAAAAACTTACGTATGGAGAAGAAGCTGTCTTAGAGTCACTTTTTACCTCTAGAAATAGACTCTGAAGATAAAAGTTACTGATAGTTCTAGCTTCTTTGTTTTGTTTTGATTTTTTTCTTATTTTTATTATTCAAATCAATTTTTTAAATTTAATCATATTTTGATCATACTTTTTTCCTCTCACAATTCCTTTCAAATATTCTCTCCCTCTTTACCCACCTAACTTTAAGTTCTTTCTCAAAAAACAAACAAAAACTAACAAAACAAAATCTCCCCTCACAAAATAAAGCAATACCATACAGGAAAAAAATAAAACCACAGAACTATGACCAAATACATGCAACCACACACATACACGCAGACTGTGGAGTCTATTATCTCTGCATCAGCTACTCCTGAATATGAAGACTTCCCTGGAGTGGGTGATGTATACAGTGCTACTGCATTGCAGAAAACTGATTTTCCCTTTCCCAGCAGATATAAACGACAGTACAGATGTTAACCTTTACCATAGTGGCTAAATTTTCATTCATTCATTTTTTTTGAAAAAATATAACAAATGAAATACAATATGATGAAACAATAGTATCACCTGAGAGTTCAACAAGGCAAACCAACAGAATGAAACAACACAGAGAAGGCACAAGCAGAGACTTACATGTTTACACATGTGAGTTCAGGAAGCTCACAAAAACATCAAAATTAAAGTCCTAATATATAAGCAGAGGACTGGTGCAGGCTGATGTGATACTTTGCACGCTGCTAGAGTCTGTGGGTTCATATGAACTTTACCTATGTTGATGAGGAATGCTTTGTTTTCTTTGTGTCTTCCCTCTTCTCTGGCTCTCACACTCTCTTCTTCTTCCTCCTCCTCCTCCTCCTCCTCCTCCTCCTCCTC